CTTCCTTCCTTCCTTCCTTCCTTCCTTCCTTCCTTCCTTCCTTCCTTCCAAACCATTAGGAATCCGGTCGCCCCTTTTCCAACTCACACTCACATGAGTTGCAGCCCTCCCATGAGTCGGAAAAGGGGCAACCAGATTCCTCTGGATTTTTTGCCACCGTAGACTCACCACAGCTCCCCTCCTACAATGTCTTCCCCATAGAAAGCGAAGCCTCCAACAAGTTGAAGCTGACTCCTGGTAGGCGCTTGGCCACGGCCACGTCATTTCCTTAGCAACAATGCAGAAGCAGCTTGCCCGTGCCTCCTTCAGGAACAGGGTTTTAAGTGTCATCTACAATCCTGGGGTTACCTGGTGGTTTCCCATCCACGCATGAACCGGGACGGAGCTGGCTTTGGCTCTTTTCCAGATTAGCCAGGGTGGTTTGTATCCCGGGGGGAAAAGCACCTGTAAACTCTACAGGGCTAACTTGAGTGTTTCTCCCTCCTCAAACAAACCTTGGGCGTCTGTTATGTGTGTCCACTCCAGTGGGGCTCCCCTCCTCATTAGTTAGAAGAAAGATGAGCACCAGTTACCCGCCCTTTTCTCATTTCCGAGAAAATCCGAGGAATAAAAATGGCGCATGGCGCAGTTTCTCCCTCCTCAAACAAACCTTGGGCGTCTGTTATGTGTGTCCACTCCAGTGGGGCTCCCCTCCTCATTAGTTAGAAGAAAGATGAGCAACAGTGAAGGGAAGCACCAGTTACCCGCCCTTTTCTCATTTCCGAGAAAATCCGAGGAATAAAAATGGCGCATGGCGCAGGATCCTTTGCTTTCGTCAAAACAGGAAGCTTTGGCACGCGTGCGCCTGCAGGGTCATGATGCACACGCGAAAAAGGGGGCAGGCTTGCATCGTGACGCTGCTCTGGTCATCCTCCCTTGCACACGCCACTGCTCATAAGGCTAGCCCAGAAATATGGAAGAAAGCAAGCCGGGGGTGGGGAGGGCACATTTTGCTCATGTTGTTTTGGTTTGGTCTGTCCCAAAACACATGAGCTATTTGGGGTGATGGTTGTGATGGGGCACGTGTTTCCCTTCCGTGTGCATGTTCTACCTAGTTTTCCTGGGATGTGGGTGAAGGCCTGGCCCAGACTTGCTTGTCTATCAGGAAATTGCCCTTTGTGAAATGCAGGGCTGGAGACCCCCACTCCCTCTGTCCCCCCGGAGCCACTTCTAATGGCCAAAGGAAGATTTTCAGCACGGCGATTTTGTGGCTTAAAAAACAACAAAAACCTAAAAGAGCTACAGGTTATATCTGCAAGCCTTAACCCCCCTGTCCTCACGAACAATGCAGAAATTAAACCCAGTCCAACTTCACTCTCCCCAATGTTGTTTTTATTACACTTCCTGCAGTCCTTGGAAGTTTAAATCGTAGGGGGAAAGTGAGAAGTCTTGGCTAAATCAAACTGCCAATTCCTGGTGAAATTAGTCTTTGGTTCTGTTTGGTCTCAGATGTCGCCCTTGCCCTGAGCACAAGTTTCTTGGCCCTGTTATCCGCCTGGAGGGAGTTTCCCTCCTGTGAAATGGGTGCAGGAACAGCAGGTCCAAAAGAATGACTTTTTGCTGGCCGGGGAGGGTAACCTCTGGTTCGCCTTTCCTCCTGGCAGAAAACGCCAGCGCCAGCCGAGAAGCCTTGGAGAACAAAGGCATCCTGGGCCTGGATGTCAGCGGGTTCCTTGCAACTGCTCAAGAGATGGTGGCACCGTTTGGACGTGGCTTTTGGTAAGGGAAGAGATGGAGGGGAGGAAGTGGGAAGCTCAAGGCATCACGGGTGGTCTTCGGAAGTGGCGGGAGGCAGAAGCCCTCTGCTTCAAACACTTTTGCTAGGCAGATGTTCCTTCGGAGAGACTTTGCTGCGAGGCAGAAACCCGGAAAGGGACGCTTTCTGGAGGAAGCTGTTCTGAAAATCATTTCCCCAGGGTTTCTACTTGCTAGTGTTTCCATTTCCCCCCAGCTTCCAAACCCCTTAATAATGGCCGACATCCCTTTTGTTTCAGGTAACCGGGGCAAATGCCTCCCGAATCCTCCAACCAGCCGGGGATCACGATGCCGAACAAACTCCTCTGTTCGTTCTGGACGTCCCCGGAGACGCTGGACTCTCCTCCCGCTCACTCCATTGGTGGCCACCCCACGGTGAAGCCACAACATCTGAGGACAAGGGGACGGTCCCCACTCCACCCCTGCCGGTTTTATTTAAGGGCTGTGGAGGGGGTCTCTCTTTATCGAGCCACAGCGTGGCACCCGAGACGGAAAATGCGTCACGTTCGCAGTTATCTTGGGTCGGAAAGAAAAGCATAGGAGTAATCTGATCGTGCAGCTCGGTATATCATAGGAAAATAATTAAAAAAAAAAAGACTTTACTTGAAGGGTTAAGAATCGGTTCACGTAAACCCGATTTTCAGACACGGGACGCGGTTGGATGTATTCTGTCAGGGAGTGTGTTGCTCAGGCTTTTGCACAACTCCCGTGTACTTCTGCTTGTCAAGGATGCATTGCAACCGTTCTGCTTGTCTCATGTGGATTTTGGGGTTTGGGATTCTTTTGCACACCAAAACAAACATTGGACGTTACTGTGCAATGATCATTACCTTTAAAGGGTGTTTTTGGGGGGGGGGCGCGGGGGGAAATGGGGATGGGAGAATAGATACCCGAATAATAGCGCTTTGTTCTTTTGTAGATAGCATGGTTTGATTCCGGAGCTAGGTTTCTATCGAACCGTCTGTTTATGATATTGCAATAAGGAGATTCATTATGTTGCTGCACTAATAAAATTAGGCCTTGTAAGATACCTTCTCCATCTTTGGAAAAAATTCTTTTGTAACTAATCTTTATAAATAAAGTTGACTTAAAAAGTCATAGTTGAATTATTCAGGCGGAGAGGGAAATGCCCGCCAGTCTCAAAACCAGACCAGGGGCAACCAGACCAAGGGTGTTACAACGTACGTTGGGAGGAAGAGAAAAAAATCTGAATTTTATATATTCGTTGTGTCAGTTTGGCAGTCGCTGATCTGGTGGCATCTCAAGGGTAGTAACGGTGGAAAGACAACGGCAGTGCAGTGGCTGGGTTCACAGATCACAACAGAACCATAACGTGGTTTGATGGTGGCTTAATGTTGTGGTTTGAATTATGCTGAAGTAAACTGTTAGTGGTGGGCAGACAAGTTTGACTGGAACTGTTCTGAATTTCAGACATCTTTTTCTGAGTACAAAATGGGCTGTTTGGAGCCTGCTGGGAGTGTTCAAAACGCTTGGAAAATTCTGCCCTCCAAAGGGGCAGTTTTGATGCGGTGGGAAGTCTGTGTTTGCACAGCCCTCCTGCACGTAAATGTGGAAGATTAGCATCTTTGGGGTCCAGCAGGTATTAAGTTGGAACCAACCTTGGCTTCAGGTCTTGATTAAGGGGCACTGCCAGTAGCTTTCTGGTCTAGCTGGTTTATTTGATCATTTATACGCTCATGTTTCCTTGCAGCTAGTCGCTCATGGTGGGGTATATAGACTCCTTTTTCTGCTTTTTACACAGAACCACCTCCCTGTGAGGTAGGCTGGGTTGAGAGAGGCGGCTTGGCCCAAAGTCCCCCAGGGAGCTTCCATGGCTGAGCAGGGATTTGAACCTAGGTCTCCCCACTCCTAACCCAACAGCCGCATCAGGACAGAACCTCCTGATCGTAATGCGCCTTTTCAGGCATGAAGATCTGCAGCTCGAGGAGGACCTCCTTTCACGCTGTCCCCCACATCCTCCTCCTTTGCTTGTGGAAGAGAACAGGTTGTTCTCTTTCACCAAGGTGTTCATAGCAGGAAGCCCTTTCAGGATGTTTCAGGGTGTGTTTTTTTTTACTGTGTATGCCACTCAGTCACGTACAAGTGTGATAAATAAAATTTGAGTGGTTGAATATCCAGATGTGCGAACAGAAAGGTGGGCTGTCAGACATTGGAAAAATTAGAGAAAGGAAGTATCTGACTTCTGGACAGTTTTCCTGGGGGCTGTGGTTTTGGCCATGGAGAGTGTAGTCAAAATGAAAAAATCAAGTACATTCATTATTGATTGGGCAAGATTAATTGAACCCAAAGATCTGCAAGTGTCATTCTCTCCCTTTAGAAGAGAGCAGTGTTTCTCAACCTCAGCAACTCTAAGAGGCATGGACTTCAACTCCCAGAATTCCCCAGCTGGGGAATTCTGGGACTTGAAGTCCACACCTCTTTAAGTTGCTAAGGTTTGAGAAACACTGGACTAGAGCATCATGTAGCACGAGGACAGGCTTGCTCCAGTTGCATTAGAAAGTGCGTTCAGGTCTTTCAAGCTATAGTACTTCAAATTGGAAAGAAATGGGTTGGTAGGATTCTGGCCTCTTTCCCCATCTTGTGTCCTCCAGAATACGGGACAATAATTCTCATAATCACATCAGGGTACAGGAGGTTGAAGGCTGTTGAGAAAAGGTAGTTCCATAGAGACAAAATGGGACCAACTCCACAGGCATTACAAAGGGGCCAGAGGTCATTGGAAGGAACTGTGACCCACATTTGGGTTTTTCAGTGGGAATTGATTTTTAAGGCCAACAGGATGGATTCTCTCCACCCTGCCCCCCCCATTTCTGAATGAAAAAAACACATGACCAAAAGGATGGAAAGAATCCAATAGAAGGGATATGGGGGGGGGGTTATTGATGAAACCCCATGGGCTCAACTTACCCATTGGAAACTCAACTTTTGGACTATCCTACCAACCAACCAAAGCTTACTGATTGCTGCTTATGGTTTCAGAGATTAGCTTGCAAGGGGGAGTGGGAAAGATATACATCTACAGCTTGAAGAAAAACAGAGAAGCAATGTAAAACCAGTTCAGTGAGAAACAAAGGGAGGCCCAAGTGCCTTGGAGTAGCTTTTCTCTACCAAACTCCCCACCCCAGAACTAGAACAAAACCTGCCAGGATTCTGTGTCAACATGGAAGGGCAGGTTGGGAAGAGCTGGTGAACCTAATACAGCTTGGCTCAATTGTGAGATGTTGGAAGATCTTGCTATGGAAACCACCCATGGGCAGGGAGAGGTTTTTCCTCCTCTTCTCAGGACTATCTACTATAGCTTACTGGAGACCAAAGCAAGGACTTCGTCACATGCATCATCATTCACCTGTGGAATTCATTCCCGCTAGAGACAGTGATGGCCACTAGCTTGGGTGGCTTTAAAAGGGGACTGGAGAAATTCAGAGAGTAGATCCGTCGTGGCCTATCAATCTTTCAGGCTCCATGTTACCTTGAGGAACCACTTGCAGAGGAACAATCAGTGGGGGAGGGGAATGTCTCCATCTCCTGATTGCCCACTGTGAGAAAGGACATGCTAGATTTTATGGACCTTGGCCTGATCCAGCCATGCAATTCATTCCCACAAGACCTGGCAATGGATGGTTTTAAAGGGGGATTAAGGAAATGCACAGAGGACCCACCTATCAAGGGCTATCAGTCTTGAAGCCTCCATGTTGCCTCAAGTTGGAAGTACCATGCTCCAAACCCAAGTGACAGGAGAGCGATGGTAGTAGGGTCTCCTGCTTACAAGCACCCTGGACACATCTGGTCGCAATTATAAGAAACAAAATGCTGGACTAGGAGGATCACTGGTTTGATCCAGCTGGGTTGTTCTTATCTTCAGTGTCACCTCTTTGCTTCTTTGTTTTCGATTCAGAAGCAGCACCCCCAGACATGCAGACACATCTGCAATTGCTGCACACTGCTGCTAACAGATGTGACTTCTTTCACAAGCCAATGACAGATGCCGCCTTTGAGTTCCTGCACATTCCAAAGCACCTTTTCCCCACCAAATGCAAGCACTGGAAGTAATGTTTTTCATGAGCCAGGAAACTGCAATGCTGGTTACCCTCAACTGATCATAGCTAGAGTCAACCAATGTTCAAGTCCTGGTTTTAAGGAGGCCTTCAGCATGACTTCCTTCTCTTTATGCACACGCTCACACTGGTGCTGGCCAGGAAATCAAAGCAAGGGTGGGCTATCCTCAGAGTCTGTGGGTACAGTAGACTCCCATCCCTGGAGCCTTCAAAAGGCAGAATTGCTGCCTCTGCAGACCAATCCGTTCCCTTTCAAGAACATTCCAGAACCAGCAGCCTTCACACTTTGTCCCACAACAGCTTTAAGAAGCCAGCCACGATTACATAGCAAAGGCCATTCTAATATTCTTTAGCATTGCTGCACCGAGGTACCAGGCAGCTGCAATTCCTAACCACGTGGAGTCCTTGGAGTTCTCTGAGCTTGATTGTTTTCTTGCAAACGTTTCAGTGCTAGCACTGAAGGCGTTACCTAGCCAGGTAACGAAACCTTTGCGAGAAAACAGCCAAGCTCAGAGAACCCCGAGGACTCCATAGTTCAACCCTGAGCTACGCATATTCTCTTCTGTTGATTCCTAACAATATTCCAGGCTCACAAAAGACGCCAACCTGGGCCACCTCTCTGTTCTTCCTCTCTGCTGGCCCTCAATTTGAGATGAATCCTTCTGCCTGTCCTACAACTGTCCTGAAATCTCGGCTTAAAGCAAGCCACACAACAGCTCCCCCATCAGCAGCAGGCAAACAGTCATTCAGACCATCGACAAAAGTTGCTTCCAGGAGCTGGTTTTACTTGGCAGCCCAGAAGCCGCCCAGAGCCCTCCTCCCACTCGGCCGAGCCCCAGGCTCCCCCCAGCCAATACTGCGCAGAGGTTTGGTCCAGCTGACGTGAAGCCAGATGCGGGGAGGGGAGGGAAAGGGAGGGGAGGGAAAACACTCGCACACAAACACACACAGAGAGTTTGCCTGCTCCAGAATTCTGTGCTTGCACCATTTTTTTTTTTTTTTATTAGTAGCACTTTTAAAACACAAAAAGAAGCCTCGTGGCACAGTTGTGTCCCAACAGATGTAAACAGTTTCAGAAGCTTAGGGGCAGGATGGTCAATGTGGGGCAAAAAAGTTGCTGTGTCGTTACAGCTGCCACGGGTGTCGAATGTCAGGCAGCTGGCCAGAAGAGAAGATTCAATGGGAACGGGCTGCGTGAAATGGGGCAGGTGTGGAACGGCCAAAGGAGGGCAGAGGAGGGCTCGCGCTGCTGTCATTGGCGCATGACCCGAGAGCAGGCCGCAAGGATTTGGAGAAGTGTGGCCCGGGGGCTGCCAGACCCTCTGGCGGGAGGGCCATCTGTCCCTTTGGGACCAGCAGGCAGTTGTCAGGGGCTGCTTAGCCTGGAGTTGGGTTAGCAACGGTTAAGAATCACGAGTGTCAGCACCTGCCAATTTGGACACCGCAACCTTGTCTACAGAGTAATTGACACATGATTATATCCGAAGAGGGAGGAACATCTGATCAGTGCAGGACTCTTTCAATCTCAGAGATATGATTACAGGGGGAGGGGGGGAACGGGCCTTACAAGAGTGAGCTTCGTAGGGCGCTCAGCTTAAGGTCCTCTGTGCAGATGCATCGGCCCTGCCAACTGAGATCTAGGTTAAGACGTCAAGCACCGTTACTGCTGCTCCTCCTCCCCATAGATATCGTTCTTCTTCCGTTTCATCTCTTCAAAATCAAACTCTGACCCCATCATCCTCTTGTAAATGTCTTTGATGTCATCGCATGTCGTCTCGAAGTGGGTGGTGGCATCGTAGGTACGGGAAATAAAGATCTGGCAAAATTAAAACCCAGAGCGTTGGCTCTCACCTTCCCTGCTCTCCTACCCTCCCAGACAGGAGCCTTCCCGCTTCATACAAACCTGGCTTTCTCTGCCCAGGTCGGTCGGGGCAAACAAGTCACTGACGCTAACAAACCTACAGAGAGAGAGAGAGAGAGAGAGAGAGAAATCCATTTAGGAAGCTTTCAGGCAACAGGGCAGTGTGTCCACGCAACAGAAAATGTGGCTTTGTTTCAGGACCCAAACACGCGCACTGTATATTGCAACTTCTGTCTTACACATCCAGATGGGTTGGAGTTTGGCAAAACCAAAACCTGGAACATTTTGGTCTTACGGGGTAGGGCAAAAAGGGCGTGCCTTGCCATTCGTTCTCTTCTTTCTCTGCCTGGCCTGAGCATCGGGGCATCTTTCCAGAACCCTCTAGCTCCCACCGATACCCTTGGCTCTTCTCCACAACGGGGAAAGCATCTACACAGGAGTAGACACAGAATCCACAACTGCACCACAGAGAAGATCCCAAAAGCTGGTGTCTAAGGCCACCCATTCAAGCAGGGACAGGCAGCTCCTTCCTGGCCAAAAAACACATTTCACACTTTGGGGGAGATGAAGAGTCTTGAAATGGGCACAGCCACATCACATACGTGGGCAGGGCTGAGTTTAGCAGTGATGGGATATCCTCCTCTCTCTTTCCCCCGCTTTCATTCATGCGCCTATTTTAGGGCCCTCATGTGAGACTTCCTCTGTTCCCCACCTCAGAATGGCTTTCTGCTCTCAACAGCCCCAGTCTAAGGAGACTCAAAGGCTGCAGAAGGCGATCTGGAGCCTGAGCAAAAGAAGCCTGTCAGCAGCAACTAGGAAAGACCAGGGAGACTGGGAGCTGTCAGTCAAAGAAGCACTCCTCCCTGAGGTCTTAGCTGTCTTTCGCTGCCAGGACCAGACATGGAGTGCTGAAAAGAGGGATGCATTTGCCGCTCCAAAGAGGACCCCCATCTGAGAAAAGCATCCAGTAGGAAGCAGGGGGATCAAAGGCTGCCTGTTGCCTTTAAAATGTCATGTTGCCCCCCGCCCACTCCCCCAAGATGGTCGGGGTCAGGACAGAGCCATTGGGAGGGGAATGATAAAATAATTTGAGTAATTAAATTTCACTTAAATTAGTGAAAATTAAATGAGTGAAATACAGTTAATGTGATTAGCTATAAATTAATCTGGATTCTGTCCAACTCCAGCGTTTTCCTTCTCTTACATTCAAAGTTCCAGCTTGGTGGCAGTCAGGAGGGGCTTTGGGCTTTGCCTACACTACAGTTATGGGATGCCTTGGCTAACAGAGAGCAGCTCTGAAGCCCAGGCAGGTTTCTGTGCAAGGACAGCCATCACACAAAACCAGAAGTGTCCCCAAGCAGGGCTCCAAATGGTTTGATGCCTCGAGCATGGTGCCCAGGTAGATGCCCTTCCTAAAAGTTTCCTCATGAGATTCAATGCCTCTGAGCCTAGCGTGGTGACACACGTCAGCAGCAACGGGGCCAAAGCAGCCGAATTCAGCCAATGTCCGGCAGACAGCCTTACTTCTGCTCGATGGGCTCCAGGAGGTCCATGGCGGGCTTGATCTCCTTGTCTGGATCGTTTGTCTCCACAGTAGTGCTCACAATGGCAATGTACTTTCCCTGGGCTGCCACGTTGTGTGCGGACGAGATCATGCAGACATAGATGTCTAAAAGACGCAAAAGGGCGGGAAGGAGCAGGTCAGGTCACCAGGCACAATCCTGCACGCAAACCTGGCTGAGAACTAAAAAGATCCTGCAACTCAAGCTTCAAACAGGTGGTGGGGTTTGGGGCAGGTGATGGACACAGCAAAGGTGCTAATCCAACACGGCAAGAATCTAAGCCAACCTTGGAGGAGTCCACCAGAGCGCCAGCAAGGCCGCCAGAAGAACTAAACAGATTCACATTCAACATCCCAACATGAGCGAAGTCATCCAGTAATGGAGATCTTAACTCTATACTCTCTCCTACTACAGAGAGGCCATTCAGTCTTTGTGCCAAGGGCTGCAGCCGTCATTCAAATGTACAGCTCCAGAAGCTGATTATTCTTTTAAGTCCCAACATCCCAAAAAGCAAACCAGAAATGTAGGCCCAAGGAATTGGGATCAGAGGCAATCTCCATGCCTACAAAACCACTGCATTCCTCACATGCTATAAAACTCCCAGGGCCAACAAAATTAACTCAGCTACTTCCGTCAGCCTTGCGAGGTAGTCTAGACAAGAAGCACACCCAGAAGTCCTAGCTCTAACCTTACTGTAGTGTTACATTAATGGAACCTTACAAGTCTGAAAGTACATCTCTCCCCGCTCACCTTTACAGTCCAAAAAACTAGAGAGAGTCCCTTCCGAGACATTTCCCATCCCCCATTCCTGCTGCAGGTTCAGCTGCCTCTTATCTGGCCGTTGCTTAGTACGCGGCTCTTCCTCCTGTCTCCCAAGGTCATTCCCACATACCATTACAACTTCAGAGAACTAGGCCTCTCTCAAGAGATCTGGACCTCCTTGGCCAACACGCAGGGGGTCCAGGAAGGGTGCCAAACTCCTGCATGAAACCAAGCTTCTCTGTCACCTACCAATCATGTCATTAGAGCACCTTCTACCTATATCCAAGGCTATACCCAAGTTACAAGACAAGCAACAAACTAGCAAGCCTCCACCAGAGACGTGCTCAGAGGAGTGGGGGATTACCACAAGCCTCCAGATTGCTCTTCCAAGTTTACCTGACTTCCTGTTAACTTGGTTTTGGGGAATGATGATCTGGCACGAGTTGGCATCATTTGTGTTCTTGATCGGGTGGTTCAGGATACAGATGACCCGGATGACCTTGCCCACTTTCTTCACTCTCTCAGAGACGTAGCTGGGGTCGCAGATGAGCTGCTTGCAACGGGCAATCTGCAGGGGAAGAGAGAGCAGTCTGAGAGAGCAGTGGCTCCCCACTCAGAGCACCGAGGGACGGAAAACGGCAGAAGATACGCGCAGGCCACAGAGCTTGTCTTTTGCCCTCTGGAACTCAGCTTCTGCCCACCTGCTCAGATTGCATGTGCTAACCCTTCAATGCCATTCCCTAGAGACAACAACACATCCATCTTTTGCCACTTCTAAGCCCAAGGGCTTGCATGCCCATCAAGGTTGTCACTCTTCTAAGATGAGTTGCAGGGCAGAGAGGAAGCAGTGCTTCAGTGAGAACAGGGGGGTCACAGATACAACATTTCCCTGCCCCCCTGGCATGCAAACCTTGCCCACAGAAAGGATGGGAGTCTATGAATGCTTGCTTGCTACTGCAATCAAACCTTGCCTGCTCTTCCTTCCAGGCACAAATGTCACCTCCCTCCCTAGCCTGGTTTAATCATCCTCAGCAACTTGAAAGGCTACAGAGGGTCCACACCTTCTGCAAGCCCTTAATGCTAAAATAAGGATGGGGGTTTATGCTATTATTAAGTACCTAACCCAGAAACTCTAGCAGTCAGGGAGCATGAGGGTCCATGGGAGGTACAGTGAGACTGAGCGGAGGTGTGAGGGAGGTGCAGCAAGGGTTGGGGAGGGTGCGCGGGGTGTGCAAGTGGCCAGTGTGAGCACAGAAGGGCTGAGGGAGAGTGTGAGAGTGGGGAAGACTTACCCCAGCAACTTGTGATCTTCCTTTCCAGCTTCCCCACTGACTTTCTGGGGAAGCTGGCAGGGAAGGTGGCAAATGGTGATCACATGACCGCGGGGCGCTGCAAATGGTCACAAATGTGAGCTGGTTGCCAAGCACCCAGATCACAATCATGTGACCACAGGGGTGCTGGGACGGCTGAAACTCCAAAGACCGGTTGCAACCACCATTTGTTCAGCGCCGTTGTAACTCTGAACAGTCACTGAACGAATGGTTGTAAGTTGAGGACTACCTGTACTGAGAACAGAGAAGAGAAAGAAAAATATTCTATCAATATTAGTTACAATTTAGGATGTCAATATTACAACCATAGAATTATTTGGATTTTTCAACCAAAGTTAACATTGCAAAAAGAACCACTGCGTCTCACATCAAAACATTTGTGGTATAACAGAGGTTTCGATCTTAAACTGATTATATTAAAGAATCTTTGGGCACTTTGGAAATACATATCAAGTTTTACTCAAGAGACATTCAAAGGAGGAAGACCTGGGCAATGCTGATCTACTGGTTTTAATCACATTTCAGCTCCTTGCTTAGCTAGAGATGACTTTCCCTGGAGCAGAGGAAAAACTGAAACAGCATCACTCTACCTCTCCTTCTGACTTCACTCCAATCACTTTGCCGTTCTCTACGACAATCTCTTCAATGGGTTTGTTCAACATATAGGTCCCTCCATAGATGGCGCTTAGCCTGTCAAGAAAGCAATCGGACCAAGACATCTCATTGGTCAAGGTAAAATGGTTTGATCGCATCTTTGGTTGTCCGAGCCCCAATCTCACAGCTGGACATGGCTCCATCGCCTCTCTACAACAGCACTTATCATTTCTGCGCCTTCAAGTCAATCTTGAGTCCTGCTGACTGCCTGCATGAGTCCCTGCAGTTTTCTTAGCAACATTTATGGGATGTTGTCTTCTTCTTCCCAGGGCTGAGAGAGACTAGCCCAAAGTCACCCGGCTGGCTTCATGCCTAAGGCAGGACCAGAACTCATGGTCTTCTGGTTTCTAGCCCAGTGGTGCCTTAACTACTGCACCAAATTGGCTCTCCACAACAGCACTTATCAGGCCTCCTTCTTCGTACAAACTTCTCATTCCACCTTCTGCTTATTCCTCCTTTACCCCACCACTCAGTTCTTCCCAAACTGATGCCTAGCAATTACACCAGGTAGGAAGCTGGACCAGATGATGGTCCATGAATAAAAATCAGTTAAGGTTCCACATTTGTTTATTTTACAGCCTAAAAAGTTTGACGTCCACCAACACCATGGTCTATTACAACCTGGTTTAGCAAGCCCAACTTGTCTGAGTTGACACCACATGTTAAGCCCAAACTAAACAAACTACATTTGGGATTAGTGCAATGTCTGCAAATGATCTGAAGTAAAAAGTGCTGGGGACCATCTTTCATAGGATTAAAAAAAAAAAAAAAGAAGAAGGGCTCCACATTGCCAGGGAAAATAGAATTGAAGTGCATAAAGTCTTCTCTTGCACAAGGCGCCTCGTAGTTTGTTTGTAAAGCTTGGCTGTACTGGTCACTGGCCGAAAGAAACAGTATCTATCTATCTTGTCCAGGACTTTGCTGGAGAGAGACTTTTTTAAAAAATAATTATTCATTATCTTACTCTTACCAGTGAAGCTGGGAGACGGTTGAGATTGCTTTTAGTAACAAAAAAGCAGACATAAATGTTTTAAATAAGTTCTCCTGAAAATTATATTGTGCTCTCTCAATACAGAAGGCAATATGAGGAAGTATCAGCATTTCTTTAGCTCCTCAAACCTTCTGCTCATATGCTGGAACCAAAATATTTGTTCTGAGAGTCCCAAATCTCCTGTTAAGGCAGTCTTATTTTTCCATAGGCCCAGCTGAGTCAAATTCCAGTTAAAGGCAGAGCCTCTCAGCTGTTTAGCCAGTCGCTCATCCTCCCCAATTGTCCAACAACTAGGTTCATGCATCATGCTAAACCCTGAATTAAGGTTTGCAAACCACAATACCCAGATTCACACCTCATATTAAGGCAAGCAAACCACCCCCATCTTCCCTTACTGCAATGGGTGAGCTTCATGATTCCTGCACCCGCTGGGCTGGAGGGTACGTAGGATCCCCGCCGGGAAAGCTGCTACAAACGAAGGCAATTTACGGGAGCCGGTGGGCCCCAGAAAAGGTCTCACCTTGCGAACCCCTGGGGGAGCTCCCCCAAGCCATAGAGAGGGTAGAGGTAGGGACTTTTGCCGTATCTCGCCAAAGACTCGCTGTACAGTTTAATCCGGTTGATGGTTTCTTGGCAGGGCTGGTCTAGGTAGCTGAGGGGAGAGAAAGTTCAGGTCAGTCGAGGGGCAACGCGGGCCGGAGGGGGAGGTCTCTCTCAGGGCAGGGGGCCACACTTACTCATCCGTCCTGTACAGGGCGAGGGCGTGGCCCGTGAAGTCAATCACATCCTGGCCCAGGTCAAACTTCTTGTACACGTCGCGCATGGTGGTCTTCTTGGGATCAACCCCCTCAAATGTGCGGGCGTCATTCTCATCAAAGTTGGCCACGTACACCAGAAACTTCCGGAAGCGCCTTTTCTCAAACAGGCCCATCAGACCTTCAAAGGGAGAACACCCCAAGGTAAGTGCTGTGGATGAAACTGTGCACTTCTATCCTGGCTTGTTCTGGAACGTGGACGGGAAGTGACAACGCTGGCTCCGGCCAGATCATTCCCAGGCTGTGGGCCAGAGACTTTTTTGTAGTAGTTACAACCGCCCTGTGGCCAAACACCAAGGCTTAAAAAACCCAAAACAAAACATAAAACCCTAGCGCCGATGCTCAAGCAACAGTGCTTGCAATAAACCAACTTTTGAGGACCATTCACAGGCTGGGAACGTGCATGGCACCAAGGCATAAACCTCAAATTACAAACCAACACCTGCATTCACACATCTTAGTAAACCACTTGCAAACCATGACTGCATATTTTACTTAGCTCCCACTCAAGGGCTTCTTTTCAGCACAGTAAATGTCCCTGGGACATAAGAACTGGGATCCATGAGTCTGGCACACTTTTTCTGGTAGGAACAGATGTTGGTCATTAACGAAGCCAAAAATTGGCTAGCAAGAAGCAAACAGTTTGTTCTGTCTTTCTAGCAGCAATCAGCAAGCAGGGATCTGCAGTGGATCAGGGGAGCAGGAATCTCATCCCTTCCCCCTTCCTCTCAATGATACTGCTCAAGCTGGAGGGGGGGAATCAAGCATGCATAAATATTCATGTTCATACAGGTGTGTACACTCCCCCTCAAGCCTAAAACAGATGCCCATCTATACTTTTAACCCAGGAACCAAATCCAGGTTTTTATATATATGCAAAGCAAATGCCTGATCAATGATCTATCGTATCACATTTTATGAGTTCAAGCAATAGTCAGAAATTAGGGCTAGGGTTGAAAGAGACCTGGATATGTTTGGGCTACAGAAGAAGACAACTGAGGGGAGATCTGATAGCAGTCTTCAAATAGCTGAACGGATGATGCACAGGAATGGGAGTGGACTTATTGTCCAGACTGTATGAGCTGTCAGCCGGTGGAACAGGCTGCCACATGACATGCTGAGTTCTCCTTCACCGAAGGTTTTCAAACAGAAGCCAGAGGATCATCTGTCAGAGATGCTCTAGTGCAGGGTTCCTCAACCTTGGCAACTTTAAGATGGGTGGACTTCAACTCCCAGAATTCCGGGGGTTGTAATCCCCCCCTCTTTAAAATGCCAAAGTTGTGGGAACCTGCACTAGAGCATCTCTGACAGATGATCCTCTGGCTTCTGTTTGAAAACCTTCGGTGAAGGAGAACTCAGCATGTCATGTGGCAGCCTGTTCCACCGGCTGACAGCTCATACAGTCTGGACAATAAGTCCACTCCCATTCCTGTGCATCATCCGTTCAGCTATTTGAAGACTGCTATCAGATCTCCACTCAGTTGTCTTCTTCTGTAGCCCAAACATATCCAGGTCTCTTTCAACCCTAGCCCTAAT